GGATAAAACCCTTGATTAAATAGTCTAGTATTGACACAGCAAATAAAATTAAAATGCAATTATTCTACAGAAAACAATCGCAAAGTATTGGGTGCTAAGACATTGACAACAAATACATAACCTCTAAATCGCAATTAGTAAATTAAAGCAATAACAATATGGCGTCGACTCAAAAAGAGCAATTTTTGCCGAAAGAGGAAGAAGAAAGTGCAGGCAACCGTCCACTCAACAGCTCGATAGGTGGTGAGTAGTTTTGGTTGGATAAGTCCACCATCATTTGTTTAAAAAATACGAAACGATTGGAAATAGAATGACTCAACAGTCAACCATTTCAAAAATAGGGCCCCAGGTGTGATAACATTATTTCCGCTTATCGTTAGAGTCATCTAAGTATATCATCTGCATCTGAGTATTATTTAGTGCGTGTATCGTATTTTAGCGAATTTCCCTATAGGGAAGTAGTTATTACCGTAGGTCTCATGGTAAGACCTAAGCCCGGGACCGATTTACTTTTTCATTTTGATGTCCCCAGAGGCCAAAAACACCATTCGTTCAAATTTTTATATATCTATATATAGATATATATATACCGGGTGTCCAAAACCACCCGTACACCCCTTTCAAAACGTTGGAAACATTTTCTTACAAACAAAAAATAATACAAAACTAGCTAAATTGGGTACGGTCAACCAAATGGTGATAATTTCAAATCCAAAATCACACCGGAAGTGGCTTTTTCAAACCGGAAGTTGACTTTTTTAAATGTAAGCTACCAATTTTGATTACAGAATCGGATTCTACGTTGAAAATGCATAACTTTTGTATAAAACATTTTTTGAAAAAAACTAGTTTTCTACCTCTAATCCCATATTAAAGTCAATAATTTTGGGTCATTCATCTGTCAAAGTTTCTGGAAACAATAATAGAGAAAAACAAATAACAAAGATTACATAAAGACATATGATGAATAGAATCAGCTGTTTATTGTGAACACCTTAGTAATTGAGTAACAGCTGGTCTACACATTGCTTAATTTAATTTTTGTTTAGATAATTTGTTTTTACATTTGACCATTCTAATGTAAAAACAAATGATTTTTTTTATAAAATGTGATATTAAGCAATGTGTAGACCAGCTGTTACTCAATTACTATAGTGTTTACAATGAACAACTGATTCTATTTATCACATGTCTTTATGTAATCTTTATTATTTGTTTTTCTCTATTATTGTTTCAAGCAACTTTGGCAGATGAATGACCCAAAATTATTGACTTTGATAGGGGATTGGAGGTAGAAAACTAGTTTCTTCAAAACATGTTTTATACAAAAGTTATGTATTTTTCAACGTAGAATCCGATTCTGTAATCAAAATTGGTAGCTTACATTAAAAAAATTCAACTTCCGGTCTGAAAAAGCCACTTCCGGTGTGATTTTGGATTTTAATTTATCACCATTTGGTAGACCGTACCCAATTTAGCTAGTTCTGTATTATTTTTTGTTTGTAAGAAAATGTTTCCAACGTTTTGAAAGGGGTGTACGGGTGGTTTTGGACACCCGGTATATATATATATATATATATGTGTGTCCATCCGCACGATAACTTGAGTAATTTTTGTCCGATTTTGATAAAATTTGGTTTGAAGGTGTAAGGCGGGATAAACTTGAACGAGTTCGTGAACCAGCATGATCGGACTATGGGAACGGGGGTTTATGGGGGGTTTTATGGGGTAAAAATAGGTTTTTTCAATTTTTGACCCTAAAAACACAAAATTTCGCAATTTCTTTTAAAACCATTTTGTAGAGCTTAAAAAAAGAAATAATTTAGTATATTGAAGCGTTATTATGCGCCTAATTGTTACGGAGAAAATTCAAAAAAATTGTAATTTTAAAATTCCCATGTTATTCTTATGGAGAATAAGTCAACTGTTGTAGTTTGCTTGTTTATGAACATATTTTGATCGATTTTGGAAAATACTTTTATTTCTTACTAAACTATTATCATTTTATAAAAAAATCTTTTTTACCCTCCCTGTTGCAGCAAACCTAAGTACTCGTTAAACTAATTCTATTTAAATAGGAAATAAATGTGCTATTTTTATGGAGGCATTTTAGTGTAAATCCAATCAGGTTAATGGAAATTCGCTTAGTCTGCAGGTTTGCTGCGGCGGGGGTATTTATCCTTAAAATCATCGTATTGTATTGTGTACGAATATAACACAGACGTTTAATGGCATTTACCGACTAAATGTTTCTTATTTTATAAAAGGCCTAAATATTATAATTCGTGTCATACAATACAAGAGGTTAGTTTGGGGGCTTTTATATTCAGTTTAAGTTTAGTTTTAATGTTTGTTTATAATATTATATAAAACAACAAAATGTTTTCTACATACGACGGACAGAAGTAATTATAAAAATGTCTTCATCTGATCGATAGGGATGATAAATGTATGAGAGGGTATGTTTAATCCCAGCCTAGTTTATACATAATCGCAATAATAAATTTGGATCCTTAAAACAAGTGCTCTTATTTGTTATTGATTTTTTCACACTTTCCTAAGTTCTTATATTTAAAATCCCCAAACTTTAGATATGTAGAATTTAGGTTATTCAAAAAGTTTTCGGAAAAGTATTAGTGTACCATTATACTGTACACCAATTATTTTAATGTGTTGAAGACAGCATACAGTAAGCTCACAGAAACACGTTATACATAGTGAAGAAAAAACTATATATTCACGTAAAATCGTAGATTAAACCACTAAACCATGCTCAATATGGATTTGAAATCCTTATGGATCAAATATGGATAGGATCACCTTATGGATAGGGTGAAGTATTTGCAGTGCCCAATTTCAACGAAACTAAATAAAAATGGTTGATAGGGAAGATCAAGGAAATATAAATTGAAAGTCCACATTAGACTAATTTATGACATAAATATACCAGCCTACTACTTGTACGAAGTGTCACTGAATTCCATCAAATTACGTATCTACATTACTAGTATTTCTTAATTCAATTGGTAACCTATCTAATTATAACCAAACATTGATTACAACATTTTTTAAAGCGAAAAATGCTGAGATTTGTTTTTATGACGGAACCCGTGTGCAAATTGAAAATGTTATGAGAGTTTAAAACTTGTTTTCCAGACAAACGAGTAATGTAACATCCTTTCACATGTCAAAGATTATGATGTTTTATGATAGCAATAACGTGAATAAAACTACTAATATACGTCAAATTAAATTTGTTTATTATAGTACTATACCAAAATTAGTTATTTGCCTACCTCAATTAGGTTACAATCACTAAAAGTAGCCTATATTTCATGGACAGTTTCGTCTCTTATACACTATCTGACTTTGGTCAACATTCAACTGAAAGATCATCACTATTTAAACCGCTATAAAGAAAGTTGATTACTGAATCTTTGAAAGTGACCCCTATAAATAAATCAAACACGAGGAGGCGTCCTAGATGAAATTAACCTTTTAGAAACGATTCGTCCTTATTCAAAATTATAAGCTTTTAAATTGCAGCTATAAAGATCTGCAACGTAGGACGAGCGTAAAAGGGATAGTTACAGAGAAACAATCCATAATTGTACTCAGTACATTGAAGATTGCGTGGATTCCCAATTTTTTTTTTTCAATAAAGCGATTGGATCGATACTGCTTTGGAATTGAAAAGCGATCTACGTGAGACCAGCATTTTTCACTGTGTGCGTGTATGTTCGTGTGCGTGTGTGTGTACTGACGCATGCGCCTCAATCCGGGGTCATATCTCTGAGGAACACGTTTCTTTCAACATATTGAGGTCATTTTGACCCACTTAGTGAAATTTCAAAGCTAAACTTCAAAAGCTGCATATTTTTAGCTATATAGAATTCATAGAATAATTAACACATTGAAAAGAGCTTATAGAATCTATTTTCCAGTGGTATTCAACGACTTATTTAAATTTATATTGGTAGATTTAGGTACATTAACAAGAGGAAGAATATCCAAATTTAAAAATATATCTTATAGGTTTAAGTCTTGAATCTCGTTTGTTCAACATGAAAATGAGTAACTTCTTAAATGGACTCTTCCAAAACTTCAATCTAATCAACGGCTAATGTAACCTTAAAATGAAAGGTTCCAAAATAATCTGCCAGGTTCGTTACTTACCCAATCTCTTAATAATTTAAAACCTCATTAATCCTGACCAAATTAATACGAACTTTGCTTAATCCGGACAGCCAAATGACTGTTAATATGTCGTAAAGCTAAGCTAGGTATGTTCCACTATAAATTAAGCAGTTTTTTCCACGATTGCTTCAGTAATTAACAGTTTTTTGTGTATTTTAAATTCAGAATATTGTATTTAAACAGATTGTAGTCCAAAGATATTACTTTATGTATTAAGGGTGCTCAAAAATCCAAAAATACAGCCAAATTTCTTAATATCAGGTTCCTTTCTTTCAATGGGGACTAGGGTAAATATATGTACGACATATGTCGTAAATATATGTACGACATAGTAATCTGGATAACTTGGACCCCAATTAGTCCGATATGAGGGTTTGCTGAAGTAGCTTGTAGGCATACAGACGTAAAACATTGTCAATACAATTATATGATTTTCAACCCTCTGCAGGCCTCGTCGTAAAGGTCACCCATCAAATGTGTGTTTTAAGTCAATCCGGACGATTTTAATCCCCAATTAGTCCGGATTAACAAGGGTATACCGTAGGCCTACTAGATTAAGGACGTACAATTTTCACACAATCGGACCCTTTAACCTTTCCGGACTCGTCGAAGAGGGGACACCTCTAGGGAGTGTTCTCTGTCCGTTTTTCTTTACCGATGTCTACGGTTCCTCGGTTAGCCAGTGTCGGTACCGGCGGCTCGACGGCGCGAAGGCACCACATATGGTTCCAGCACGGTATCGATCGTCGCAGCGCTACCGCTCATAGCCGCTACGTCTGCTGGTACTCTGCTCGTCTACTCACCGACAACTCGCCACGGCCGGTCTATCTATACGTAGCCAGTGGTGATGACGGCGTCACTGCAGTCACAGTTGGCCACTTCACCTCACCGACACTTCACTAGACACTTGGCCACTTCACAAGCGCCACTTCCTACAGTAGCCACGACGGGGCACTGAGACGTTGCCAGGGCTCGCCGCCGCAGCGCCACCTCCGCCACCCGCCACCCCCAGTGTCAGTGTTATGATCTGTATTTTGACAAGCTTAAGTGTTTCGTGGATGTGGCCACGGTGAGACCGTTTGTGGCGTTGTATTTTATTCGTCCATTTAAGAATTTTAGTATTGAGAGACAAGTGGAAAAATTATACGAAAAATTGTAACCTTATCCGTGCAGCAGGGTTTTAGCAAAAATATAAGTTTATTAAAGACGGCCTCTTTTAATCTTTAATATGTCCGTCCACATAAATATGAGCCAGGCACGTGCGTGCTGTGGCGTTGAAACGTATCCAGCGAAGCTAGGAGTGAGCTGATACAGTGTGAAATGTATATAAGTGATGGCACCAGGACGAAACCCCACGTCATCGCTTGAACTGGTCCATCACGCTACGTACTGAGTTACAACTCACAATTGCTGGATATGACTACTAACAGTATTACGACGTTTAATCTAAGGCTACAAAACATAAGATATTCTTATCAATCATTATATAATTTTAAATATTTTCTATAATCAATGCGCACGAATACACAACCTCATGTTGGTTTCCCCACGTGAAACGTCCATACATGAGATAAATCAAAGTACAGACACAACTATAATATTATTTACATAGATTAATAAAGTCTATCTGGGTTATATTTGCTCTCAGATAATTTTTAACTATCACATGTAATGATATTATCACAAGGGATATCGTAAAGTAATGGGGAATTCTAAATCGACCTACTATGGGAAGACTAAAAGCCAGTTGAATATTCTTCCCACTTCATACACAAGTGATTGTACCTGGATGTTTAATGAATCTATTTGCCCTTATTGAGTTTCATCGGAAGTGTCAGGTTCCTCCAATTATGGCTAATATTGTTTATGCTGGATTTATTTATTTGAGGTTTAGGAATAAAACATTTCAAATAAATCAAGGATCTATTAGTGGAATTATTTCTACAATTAACAGAAAGTTTTCCAAGATATGTGCAGGTATAGGCCTTGGCATTATCCTTGAGCTAAAATCACCTGAGCCTTCAGAATATAAATACAACATAAATATAATTTCTTCACTGTAAAAAAGGAGTCCTGTTTCTGAAAACGTGTAAAACAATACTTTTTCCTCCATGAAATGTACAATAATTTTAATCACGGTTTAAAAACAAACTTTCAAAGACTTTAATTTTCTAATAAACTAGAAATCTGGGGGAAATCTGTTTTAAAACCATCTATTAAATTTTCTTCCTCACTGTTTTATCATTTTTCTTGGGCAACCAAAATTGTTTGGACGTTTCTTTGCAGTATAGAATGAGATTTGAGATTTACTACTTGTTTCTTGTTAATCAGCTATATTTAAAGTTATTTTGGTTAATTATATGTATATTTTTTACCTGTATAAACTGCAGTATACTTGATTTCTCGATGTTTGATCAATAGGTAAAACGGGGATTGTAAAATTTACCCTTAAATAAGGTATTTGGTTGACACAAAACTCAAAAGTCTGCAACAAACGCATAAACATGCTTCAAATTCTACAAAGGGGTGTTAGGCATAACTGCAGGATAAATCGATTAAACTTCTACGAGTTAGGTATTATATACCGAAGAATTCATCACTTTTTTAGTGTTTACTGTTTACAGATTTAAGGACGTGCAGTATTAATGACTTCATACGATCCACCAACTCACTATGTAATAGTATTTACTTTAGATTTAATTTGATATTTATAATGACTGAATAATGACAAATACCAATTGTATCGGAATTTGGGAGAAAACAAGACAACAACCTAAATGCCATCAATGCAAACATTATAACAATACTAACAAATCACTTACGAATAATTAATTTTTTAAAGTAGTAGATTATTAATACTGTTAAATTTCTGTGTTTTTTTATGAGAGAGGACAAAAATGAAATAATTAGTTGACATTGCGTCATTCAAGCTCTGCAATTACATTACTTAACCTCTTTTGTGGTAAACAATGCGCAAAACAACAAACTTCCGTTTCTTAGTTCTCAAGAAGGGTTTATTATTGTCCCTATGGAAATCTTGAAAACAAAAAAGGTTTGAAACATAATTTCCAAATTGTTTTGTATTGTTATAGAATAATTTAAAACATACCAGATGAGCAATTGAAAGATTGCTATGCTTAAACTATCTAGAGGGAGTAATTTCACAAGCTCATTAAATTAAATTAAAATAAATAAATCGCAATAGCCTACGATTGACAGCAGAGAAAAATATCTATTCTATATTATTATTATATAAATAAAATTAGAGTTTTGTCTGTACATTGCTCAGAATCATACATTTTTAGGTTATTTTTACGTTTTATTCATTAAAGAAGCCGAAACAAGTCTCATCTAAATTTTTGTCTGTCTGTCTGTAACACTCAAGATGGCATTTTACGCAATCTTCGCCAGGAAAACGAGAGTACCTATCAAGATCCAAGCCATTTTAATGTATTCACTGGATTGGCGAGAGTGTCTTTAGCCATTAAAATATGGCCTCAATACTTTGTAAATAAAATTACGGACGTTCAAAAATGCAGTTTTGTACGCTTTTTGTCAAGTTTTCGTCCAAGTTTTTTTTATCACATAATCATCTATCAAATAACGAACAGCTGTTCGGATCAAGATTATTTATTCTAGCTGTCACTGTTTACAAATGTTGTTTACAAATACCGCAACCATTTCCGATCACGTTTTGAAGGCAAATCCCATCCAAGTGAGATTAAAAACGTTTTTCTTACATAAAGGATTTAATTAATCGCAAGTGGAATAATATAGTGTAACCGTAAATCAAATTAAATAACTAGGCATCATCCAGGTCAGGAACCAGAGATTCTTTGTGTATAAAATTGTTCTGGAGTTTTGATAACCAGAAGGAAGACATTGAATCAGTGTTGTATACGGCTGGGAAACTTCAATTTGTTACTGATCGTCACCAATAGCTTAGAAACAAGGTTCCACTCATTGACGGCGCTTCAATGGCGGTAAAAGCGGTTGTGTAAAGTGTAAAGTAAAAAATCACAACTGCAGTGGGTGATTGTAACAAAGGTTTACGGATGATGCTAACCTCGATTTTCCAATGTGTCACTTTCTGTTCATACTATTGACTATATATAGTCAATAGTTCCTACTCACCGTGTGATGCAATCGCTGGACCATACAGCCAATAGGCCCATAGCCCATCTCTTGGGTACGTACGCTTACCCAATTATTTATAACAACCTTTTCGAAGACGATCCTTGATACCGGTAATTTTCCCTAGAATACACGGCCTACCTAGGTACTTAAGAAATAAAATTACAAACTTCCAAAAACCCAACGTTGTGTGTTTTTTGCCACATTTCTTTCAAATGTTAATAGATATACCAATCATTGTTTAGGGAATACGTAATCTATTAAATAACAGAAAGGTGTTGTATAAGGTTGTTTTTTTTCAACTGGCACCGTTGAGTTTATATTAAGAGTTAGTTGTTTACAAATAAAGCAATCAATGGGAAATAACTTTGATTGCCGAAAACTTTTTACGAGAAAATCCAAAACCAACAGGATGGTGCAGTAAAAATAAGCGAAAAATTCCATAAACCCCCCAAAAAAAAATAGCACAGGCGGGGAATTTGCTACAGATGTCGGGTGTACCTTCCTTTTGAACATACTAAAAGTCCCCTAAAATTGAAGCTGTGCTAAGGCCGCCATATTGGAAAATGGCGGCATATTTCTGTATTTTTGGCTATAGTGCCTTTATTATTAGAGATACAGGAAAAAGTTAAAAATACAAAATGTAGTCCATTTAAAAATACACATTTTATGTATTTACCATTTTCCTTTAAACCCAACGGTTTTTGAGTTATTTGTGATTAAGTATATTTAGTTTTTCTATTTATCAAAAATAGGCGAAACCCATGGAAATCGACGGTTACTTTTAAGGTTTACGACAATTCATCCCATTTAAATAGTGTGATACTATAAAATCTTAAAATGTAACTTTATTTTATGAGTAAAACAACTTCGCCACAGCTAACCTGCAAACTCAGCAAGTTTTCATTTGATTGGATGTTTAATTAAATTTATATAAAAAAATAGGTTTAACAGGTATCTAGGTTTGCTGCTACAGGGAGGTTGGTATAGTGCGTTTTTTTAGAAAAATATCAATAGCTTAGTATAAAATAAACTAATTTTCCAAGTTTGATCACAATAAATACATAAACAAGCAAACTACAACAGTTAACTTATTCATAAGAATAGTACGGGAGTTTTAAATTTACAATTTACAAATTTAAATATACAAATGTTGGTTGTGTTTACTAAAAAAGATGGCGATTATTTGTCACGATTCAAATATTAACCGGAGGAGTTTTCATAAGGAGATGGAGCAAATTATTTAAGTAATATTAATTCGTACCAAGTACCGGAAATATTGTATACTGTAAGGTAATCAACCATATTTTATAAAGTACGCAATAGTCATATTAATATTTTATCCCCTTTTTTATCCATTGAATAATTAATCCATCTCCTTTTGAAAACCCCTTCGGTTAATATTTGAATCGTGACAAATAATCGCCATCTTTTTTAGTAAACACAACCAACATTTGTATATTTAAATTTGTAAATTGTAAATTTAAAACTCCCGTACTATTCTTATGAATAAGTTAACTGTTGTAGTTTGCTTGTTTATGTATTTATTGTGATCAAACTTGGAAAATTAGTTTATTTTATACTAAGCTATTGATATTTTTCTAAAAAAACGCACTATACCAACCTCCCTGTAGCAGCAAACCTAGATACCTGTTAAACCTATTTTTTTATATAAATTTAATTAAACATCCAATCAAATGAAAACTTGCTGAGTTTGCAAGTTAGCTGTGGCGAAGTTGTTTTACTCATAAAATAAAGTTATATTTTAAGATTTTTAACCGACTT